ATTATAACAGGGAAAGAAAACCAGAAATCCGGAGCCGGATATCCCAATTCCCAGGAACTCAGCTCCATTAACAAATCTGCTTGGGGAGCGTGCCCCTGGAAACTACTACAGGGGCCACCTTCGGTGTTCCATATCTCGAGCCCCCTTCATTACAATTCTGTATTTGCCCCAGTTAATTGAAGTTCTACGGCGGCATGAGATCGTAAATTGATTAGTAAGATTTATAACCACTCTATTATGCTTGGACTTATTTCCAATAATTAATGTTGATATATATTGTTTTTAGCCATTGTGTAATAAAATGGTTTAATAAACGTCCTTCGCAAATCTTCGAACTTGTGTTTACTACAGCCTGACTTCCGGGATGAAGACTGTTGGTTCGTTCCTGCACCTCGCCCTCTCATGATCCCCCTTTAAGGGTAGTTTTCTCTTAAGCAGATTTCCAATCTGTTTTGCTTAGGGCTACGGGTACTTACTCTAGTAAATTTGTTAAATTATGCAATACCCTCTCATTGTTATTAAGACGGAATCCACCAGAAGTTCGAGTAACAAGTGGACAAAAACCTAGTACCAAGATTATTTAGATCGTATCGCAAACTTCTGTGCGACTGTTTTAAACATCTTCCCGAAAAAAATCATTTCTAGCAACACCAAACGTCGAAAACAAATGTTGAACTTCGTATGAAAAACTTGGAAGTACTGGTGAAATGAAACTGATGATGAAATTTTTGCCTGTGTTTGCACAAGTTCTCTGAACTTTGAAATTTATTTTCTCTTGTTCCCATCGGAAATAGTTTTCGGTGTTATTTTAGGCAATTATTTATGTATTTAGCTTTAAGAACATGTAAAAATGATTGAAAATACTTAAAATTATTCTGGTACCAGGTTTTTGTCCACTAAAGCCTGAAATTGCTCGATTTTCTATCGGATTTTGTCCTAATCTTTGAGTTCGGCACAATCAGAATGACATGAATTAAGGTCGTGGACATTTTATTGCATTGTATTATTAGGGACAAATTCAGAAATACAATTAAAAAGAGGTCACTCATCTGAAAGTACTTCGGTCACACATTTACATGATTTAGACAACACGGAGTGAAAAACCGTGTTTTTGAGAAATTGTTTTACAGGCCCGGTGGTTCATAGGTTCAGTTGGACCTATCGCTAGGTAGCAGAATAACGTCACATACAAATCTAGATACGCACGTTGCCGGTATTAATGTGTTCCTAAGCTATTACTGTTAAGTTACTCCGTCAAATCTATTTCCGTTGCACCTGTGGCCATGCTAATTTTTTTGCAAGTTTTTGGGAGAAACAATTCCGTAGAAGTAGGCGCCAAAAAGTCGCGATCAAATGCATTTCATCTGTCAACGTTACAAGGGAAAAATCGAAAAGCAAAACGAGTAATCCTTTTAACAGATGCGTTTCTTTTTCAAACAATACTTTTCAAACAATACTTTTTGTATTACATAAACGTATAAATTCCGTGAAGACTGAAACAAATATGGTTCTGTTCCCGTCTTCCTGCGTCCAATAGTGACCAATCTTCGCCTTGGCTGAAAATTTTTTTTTTTCCCCGGGCAGAACCCAAGCGCATAAACACAGCAAAAATTTGAAAAATCTATATGCGAGTTTTGTCTGCATCTCTAGCCATTATTTTAAATGAGTAGATTCGCTTGCCCAAGATCACTTAGACGTATCAGTCTGCATACTCGTGAAAACAGCTACAAACAAAACAACTTTGTTAAGCAGCTTAATAAAGCGCGCGCCTTTAGGAATGTTTAATTTCGAGAGAAGTTGCATCGTGAAAGCACATTCACTGAGTATTATCTTCTAAGTTCGGAAGTCGATTCAGCGAGTGGCTGATTAAATACTAATGTTAGTTAATGTGTTCTCATGGAAGGCTTGCGCTGATGGTCAGCCTGCACGTATGTCTAGTTTCCATCGATATCCGGAGCTAAACAGATGCAAGCGTTTTGTTAATGAAACCAAACCGGGAAAACACAAAATTTATATGAAAAAGTTGAAACCAGAGTACGTGTTTATTGCTCTTCTGTGCGAGTAAGAAACTAAAAAACGTCAGTTGTTATCGTTTAAGATAGGAAGTCGTTGATAGTTGCTGATTAAATTTTAATGTGTATATACGCAAACAAGCAGGTTCTTGCCTTAATGGATCAGGCTGCAGGTATGTCTAGTTTCCAACGTCTTCCGACACTTAAAATGCAAGCGTTTTGTTAAATAAAAACAAAGCGGGAAAACAGAAATTTCCGTATAAAGAAGTTGAAATTTCGGTAAAGAGTAACTGTATGTAGTTGACTACATTTTTTTTTCCAAAGGAGATTCGACAGTCGACACCATAAACTTTGTTAATTGAATTTTTTAATTTATTTTGTTAATTAAATTGGCGAAATAAATAATTCAAGTCAAGATAATGGCTACAGAATATGTCTACTCTTAATTGCAAAAAAAAAAAAAAAAAAAAGCCAAAAGTTAAAGAAAACAGAACAATGGAAAATAGGAAAATTAAACGATGGAAAGATCGTTGATCTCAACTGAGAATGTGGACAGTTATAGTTAAATGGAATATTGCACCACTATTGCCGTGCATAAATAGCGCTCAGTAAAAATTGTTACAGCTCAGACTTCCATGATGTTGCTGTCTTACAAGACCGCTGGTTCAAAGGTTAGATAACTTTATTTAGCGGTCAGAAACTTAATTGGACTTTGTTTACAAATATCTAATGGTCCCTCTAAGCAGTAACGTTATCCATCCTTTGAAAGACCCGAGATCCATTTAAACATAACAGGTGGCATGATAAGTTTTTTTTTTTTTTTTCACCGCCCACTCTAATTCCACATAATAATCGTGATAAGGAATGAAATAATTAGTCATATTGCAAGTCTTAAGAAGTGAACGGCTCACGAGATATGGAAATCACTCTCCGCTATCCAGTTATATCATTTCTCTTTGCTACTTTCTCTCATTTTTCGGAAGGTAAGCAATTTCTTTCTCTCTTAATTTTCTATTTTTAGCTTTCTACTTCGTTATTATTTCAGATACGATATAAAATCCTAACAACCATAACAGACACCTGAACTTCTTTCACTTAAGGTCTTAGTGGAAGGTCCTCTGATGGGTTATCTTTTATCAACTTCAAACCAGATGAGTATTTGTATCTGAATATCACCAGTATTGGTTCAAATCTTGTTGAAGACGGCAGCGAGTGTGGGTTTGCCTGTTTGGAAATCCCTTCATGCTTTTCTTACAACCTCGCAGCAGTCCCTGATATCAACAAAAAGAAGCTCTGCGAGCTGCTTCCATCTGACAAGTACAACAACACGGACAAGTTCATCGCAAGCCCGGTGTTTCATCACTTCAGTATTCCGGTAGGGGGAAACTTGACTTTCATTGACATTCCAATTTCAATAAATGATCTACATCAACGAAATACCATTACTAGGAGCCTGTGGTAAAATGGATACCTCATAACGCCAGCTAATTAAGAAAGTCTTAGCAGGGAAGAGGATATATTATAAAGATAACTTTCGTTTAGTTGCACCTTATACTTTCTTTTAACCAGAAGGATATTTGTAGTAAGCCGAGAGCATCACAGCCTTCTTGATTAGTGGAAGTTTGGTGCTGCAGGCGTGCCTTAATAACGACTTTTAAGATGAGAACACTAAAATGACGTTTACAACGTACATCAACCTGAAAACAAACGAACGCTACGGAATAGTCTCATGTGAGGGTAATCTTTCCGCCCCTTGCGAGAGCTTCAAGCTTGCAAAACCACCCTCACCCTCCTGCAAGAATCTCTCACTTGCTAAAATAAATCCGCTTGCATCTTATGCGGGTTAG